CCCCATGCACCCATTCTTTGCACCCCCCAGTTCCCCCCCAATGCACACCCTTGTTGCACCCCATATGGACCCCATTTTACCCCTCCTCTTTGCACCTCCGTGCACCCTGCAAGGTCCCCCCACCTTGCACTCTTTTGGGCACCCTATTATAACCCCTTAATGGATCCCTTCATGTCTCCCCCATGAACCCCTTCACTGGGCCCTCCCTGAACCCTCAAGGCACCCCCTAATTTGTGTCCTCATTGCACACCCTTATGCACCCCATTTTACTCCCTCATTGCACCCCTCCATTGCACCTCCTCTTTGCACCCCACATTTGCCCCTTTGCAGCACCTTTTTTTCCGCCCCTTTGCCTTGCACCCCCCTGCATCCTTTTAATATATCCCCCATTCCATGCCCTGAATGCGCTTCCTAAAGCACCCTTGAAGTTGCACCCCTCAATTGCCCCCCTAAGTTGCACCCCTAAATTGCACCCTCCTAATTTTCATCCCCAACTGCACCTTTTAATTGCACCCTTCTTAGTCCCACCCCTTAATTGCAACCCCTATTTTGTACCCCCTAACTGCACCCCATAATTGCAACCCCCAAAGTTACCCCCCAAATTTTCCCTCCCCCAATCACATCCTCATCCTTTGTCCTCATTTGGGCCAAAAAAAAAACCCAATGGAAAAACCCCCCCAAATAGCTTTTTTTTTCTTTCTTTCTTTTTTTTCCCCCGCATTTGACCCAATTTGGACCCGGTGGGAATTTCTACCCGCTTGGAAAATGTCCAGCTCCAATGTACGGCAGGAGCCAGAGGTCCCTGCGCATGCGCCCCCCCCACCCCGTGCCGGCTCCTCCGTCCTGGTGCTCCGGTGGCCGCTCCGCTTTTCCGCATGGAGTTTAGAGCTCCCTCTAACTCCCTGCTGAGCAAAAAGAGGCAAAAACGCTCCGGTTTGGAACAAAGTTGCATCGTCCCGATAGGGACCCGGATAATTTTCGCCCGCCATGCAAAATCCCGTCCGGCGGGTGTTTTCCTGTGGGTATTTTTCCTGTGACAGAGTCATTTGGAGATAGGTTGGTGGGAAAAAAAATACAGCCTGCTAATGTTAGGATAAACAGGATTAATGGAAAATTAATATAAAGGATTCACAAGCGTGTGGGGGCATACAGAAACTTCCGCCCAGGTTTTCCCGTGGGAGCCCCAGGAAGGGCACTCGGAAACGCGAGAGAAAACGGGAGCTCTGCCGACCTTTCCCTCCACGATTCTCCCGGGGGGATTTACAAAATCCCATCAGAATAAACCCGGTTCTCCCGGCAAGCCCCTGGTGCCGCTCCGCGTGGCTCCAAGGAAGCCAATGGGAATTTTCCCTTGCTCTTTCTCCCCATTTGCAGAAACTTGAAGGCTCCAAGTGCCGGGGGCAGCTGCTGATTTTTGGAGCCACCAACTGGGACTTGATCGGCCGCAAAGAAGTGCCTAAGCAGCAAGGTCGGTGGCAGAAATTTATAATAAATATATATATGTATATTCACAGAATAAATATATAGTGATTGAGATGTAATATTAAAATATAATAATATATAAAATATAATAATAATAAAAAGATGTAATAAATATAAATATATATATTTGATATATAAATGATATTTATAAATGATATTTTTTAAAATATATATTTTTTCTTTTTCCCGCTTTCATTGCCTATTGCTATATATATATATTTTTTTCCGTATTTAAAAAAAAATATAAAAATCTATATTTTTCTCTGTTGTTATATAAAAATCTATATTTTTCTCTTTTGTTCCCTGTCCCCTGCAGTGGCTTACCGCAACCTGGGCCAGAACCTGTGGGGGCCGCACCGCTACGGCTGCCTCGCGGGGGTCCAGGTGCGCACGGTGGTGTCGGGTCCCTGCGCCGCTCACAGCCTGCTCATCACCGCCGAGGGGCGTCTCTGGAGCTGGGGTGAGACACCCCCTTAAAAATAACAATTTGGGGGATTTTTTACATTTTTGTTATTATTTTTAGGTAAAAAAAATGACTTTTTTTTCCCCCGGCAGGGCGCAATGAGAAGGGGCAGCTGGGCCACGGGGACACGAAGCGCGTGGAGGCGCCGCGTCCCATCGAGGTGCTGGGCGGCGAGGCCATCGTGCTGGCGGCGTGCGGCCGCAACCACACGCTGGCCCTCACCGGTGGGGACGGTGACAGCGCGGGGACGGTGGCGGCGCGGGTACGGGGCGAGAGCCGTCCTCGCCCCTGAATTAACCCCGTCGTCGTCCCCTGCAGAGAGCGGCTCCGTCTTTGCCTTCGGCGAGAATAAGATGGGGCAGCTCGGCCTTGGGAACCAGACAGACGCCGTGCCCAGCCCCACGCAGGTAAGACGCCCCCTTTTTGTTTAGGAAATATTTATTATTTATTTATCTTTTGGGGTCTCGAGTCAAAAAGCTGCGGCCGAGCAGGATGCAGCCGCCTTCGCCCCTCGTGTTGCTGCTTTTTAATGGATTTTTTGTTTGTTTTAATGGATTTCTTTCTTTCTTGTAACCAAAACAAGAAGCGCCCCGGGGAAAAAAAATCCTCCCTGAGTTTGAGAGGGTTTGGAAAAATCTCCTGGTGGCTCCAGGGACCCTTTCCCAGCTCTGGGCTCCGTCCCTTGCAGATCATGTACAACGGGCAGCCCATCACCAAGCTGGCCTGTGGGGCCGAGTTCAGCATGATCATGGACTGCAAAGGGAACCTCTACTCCTTCGGCTGCCCCGAGTATGGCCAGCTGGGTATGTTTCCATGACAGGGGGAAAAAACAAGTGGATATGTGTGTGTGTATGTGTATATATATGTATTCCAATTCTCTTCCAATTCTCTTCCAATTCTCTTCCAATTCTCTTCCAATTCTCTTCCAATTCTCTTCCAATTCTCTTCCAATTCTCTTCCAATTCTCTTCCAATTCTCTTCCAATTCTCTTCCAATTCTCTTCCAATTCTCTTCCAATTCTCTTCCAATTCTCTTCCAATTCTCTTCCAATTCTCTTCCAATTCTCTTCCAATTCTCTTCCAATTCTCTTCCATTCTCTTCCATTCTCTTCCATTCTCTTCCATTCTCTTCCATTCCATTCCCTTCCATGTTCTATTCTATATTCTGTTCTATTCTATATTCTGTTCTATTCTATATTCTGTTCTATTCTATATTCTGTTCTATTCTATATTCTGTTCTACATTCTATTCTATCTTTTCTTCTATTTTATGTCTATTTTATTCCTATTCCCTTCCCTTCCCTTCCCTTCCCTTCCCTTCCCTTCCCTTCCCTTCCATGTTCTATTCTATATTCTGGTCTATTCTATATTCTGTTCTACGTTCTATTCTATCTTTTCTTCTATTTTATGTCTATTTTATTCTCTTCTCTCCCCGCCGCGTGCCGCAGGGCACAACTCGGACGGCAAGTTCATCGCGCGGGCGCAGCGCATCGAGTACGACTGCGAGCTGGTGCCGCGGCGCGTGGCCATCTTCATCGAGAAGACCAAAGACGGCCAGATCCTGCCCGTGCCCAACGTGGTGGTGCGCGACGTGGCCTGCGGGGCCAACCACACGGTAAGGGGCCCGTCCTGGCCTCTCGCCGCGCGTGCACCGAGTTGCGCCCGGGCTCAGCGCTCAGCCCCAAGGCTGTCCGGTTCTCCCGCAGCTGGTGCTGGACTCCCAGAAACGCGTCTTCTCCTGGGGCTTCGGCGGCTACGGGCGCCTGGGCCACGCGGAGCAGGAGGAGGAGA